TTTATGAGAGAAATGAACTATGAAAGAATAAAAAAGCCTGAAATACGCGACCTCCAAACTGTCTTGAACAATAAAGAAATAGACACCAACGGCAAAATAATAGTGGACCTAAGTGTATTTAAGGAAGCCGAAAGGTTGTACCAGACGGAATTAAGTGTAGACGAAATTATTGCACTGAAGAGGGTAGTTGATCTGATATGGAAGCGTGCATCGGAGGAGGATAAGAAAAGATGGGAAATTCTTTCAGATAAATTCACATCTGAAGGTAAGCAAAGTTCGTCGTCTATTGTCTGTGTCTGTACGAATCATCCTTTGGTTAGTTGATGCTAACATCAATTCTATCTATTCCTCGAACTTGTTGGTTTTCATTTGTCTAGCTCTTCGTCGATGAGAGTTCGATAATAAAACATATTGTTCTGACACGCAATTATGGCTGTAGCCAAAAAGTTTGACATTCATCTTCCTTTATTTATTTATTTCTTCTTTGAAAAGAAAATACTGATACCATGAAAAACATCCTCATTTGTAAAAATTTAAGAAAAAAAAACGCATCTTAATCGATATATATTATCATTCATTAAATTAACAATTCATTCATGACATTTGTAAAGAAAATTTTTTTATTTTACGACTTTATATTTTATTTTTTGACTTTATATTTTATTTTTTAACTATGCAATAAGGATAGAATAAAATTTTACAAAGAAGAAAGTTAATTCTGTGTACGAACTTCCTGTGTAACGTAGATGTGAAAATATAAGGATGCTGTACTCTAATAAAACATGTTTCAATCGTGTTAAGGCATCAATAAGCATACATTACATTACGTTATGAGTGAAAAAGGTGCATCAAAGAATAATTCTATTTTGTGATAATACTGATAATAACAATCAATCGTAAACGTTATAAAAATTTTAAAATTTTATCATCTTTTTTTTTTTTGACAATTGATTGGTCATTTTTTATAACAGAAGTTACAGAAACTATTATATAAAGATTATATGTGGAATTTCAAATATTTAGTTTAATAAAATGAATACGTATTATTTTTATGTACAATGTGAAAATAACAATTAAATATAACAATCATTTGCCGTAGTGTTAATTGATTTATAATTACAAATACTGTATGTCGTTTTTTAAATCCAATAAAATAAATTATTGGTTGATGCTTCAAGAAATCTAAAAATTTTTTGATACTAACGTACAATATACTACATATGCAGTATATAGTATAAATAGTATACCTTGTGTACAATATATGCAATGGCGATTACATGATTGTTTTTTTTTTGTTTTTTTTTTTGAAACTTTTTTAAAAAACAAACCTATCTTATAAATTAAATATATATACTGTATATACTGTATATATTCGAAAGTTAATAACGTTAATTATACCCAAATCCTATTAACCAAATGGAAGTTTTGTGATAATTAAAAATGTTTTTCGAGTGAATTTAATTATAGTTTATTGTTGCAACTTTATTGTTTTTTCATTCGATGAATTGGATAAATGCGCAATTCTTTGAGCGATTTGACTCTAGTATGTTTTTATTTTTTAAAAAAAATATATGCCATGTATTTAAAGTTTAAGTGACCTTTTAAACTGGTAAATAGTAATATTTCGAGCGCATAAATATGTTAGGTTATGAAGTTTATAATATATAAATTTCAAATCACTTTATTATATATATACTGTATATCGTAGTTAGCGTAATTATACATGACTAATTGTAAAATTCGCAAAT